TAGATTGAGATGACGCCAGCGTCTGCAGCTCTATGTATAATAGTGGTTAATGGTAGTATCCACAGTTAAGATGGCTGGTATTGAGATAGGATGGAACAAACAGCCATAGTTAAGGTGAAGGTAAGATAGAGTGTCTTTGTATAGAAGAAGATGATAATATCTATTGCTCAGATGAAGGTAAGAAGATAGTTTATCCAAATGTTAATCTAGTGAGAGTGACATTTGATGGCAGCTTTATACACTGGCTTAAAATTAACTAATACATGTATGTCAGCTTGATTTAAAAACTATATGTAGACAGCTCAGAACCAGAAACATTGTCATCAGAAACAGTGAGGTGTCTGCAGATTTGCTAGCAAAGTAGACCACATCTTGGATTGTCTCATTCACAGAGGATGCTGTAGATAGCTTGATGGAGCATCCATTGATGCATCGCAAGGAGAAGACCACAATCTTCTGGGTGTCTTACATGGATGGTTTACAGAGAGTCCTCATGTTTACTCAGAGTCCTCGCATTGCTAGAGCTGCCTCACAGGTACTGTACAGCAATTGGAATTCAGTGTCCCCTGACTCATAATAACGGTTGAGACTAGGGCGACTGTTACTTTGCAGGTTTCACATAGATCTTGAAATCTTGAAACGTACTCGAATTCATAGAATTTAATTCCAGTTCTTTGGAAAATGTTGGATTTCGGCTGATACCATTAGCATTTTGGAAAAGTGCTTGGAAGACTGAGAACAAGGTCTCAAAGTTAAAGACCATGACCATTTCTGCATCCAACTCTGTGAGTATCCACCTCCGTAGCATCAGAAACTTCGAGACAGATGGTCATTTTTTTTCCCCTAATTCCCGAAACTTAGACTTTCAACCTTGAAAAGTTTGAGAATTTTCACTGCCTCAGTCAGTTCTAACTTTCTAGAATGATCCAAAACTGGCCTTAGTTTCACAAGCAAAAGATCCTTGAAGTTGACTGCAGTCTAGTCTGTACCAGGAGGGTGGTCATCCCAAAGATGCTGTAACCATAGTTCTGAATTCAGACAGATTTTGGAAATGATTCATAACATATCTTATATTCATAATTTGTAAGTACGGAATTGATTGAGATTCCAATAATGATCCATTTGGATTTTGCCTGTCAGGCTAACATCTCTGAGTTAGCCAGCCTGGAGCTCTTCATCTCCCTAGAGGGCTTGGGTCTCTCACTGATCAATTCCAAGTATGAAGAAGTTGCCTATGTCAGCTTGTACTGCCCACCCGCAAGATGGGAGGTGGAAACTAGACCAGACAAGTGGAAGTCACTCAACATTGAATTGTCTTCAATCCTGGAGGACAAGTACAGAATAGGGGCAGAGTCAGTGGCCATCGAAGAGGCCGTAGAGGTTAGTAGAATCTGAAACTTGAGGAGATTGTTTTTGGATCGGCTTGAAGCACAGGACAGAGAAAAAGTGCAAGATTAACCACTTCCTGCCAGAGATTCCAGATCCGGACATGTATGCTTTATATGCGTGGCCGGGGTCTCCGAACTCGCACAAAGGGAACAGGGCCTTGTAACAAAAGACCGTACTCGGAACAAAAGACCAGGCTTTTGGGCATTACCATTATTTTTCACTCTCAATAGTGGAGATAATCCAGCCTTGTTTTGAAACCGTATACCACGGTTTGGGGCATTTATAGCAAGCAGATTACCTCTGGGGACAAAAGTGCTCTACCACCGCAGCGATGAGCCACACAGTACAGCTGCACGCTAATCTGGCCCCTATTGAAAAATAGGTCAGCAGCGCACTGAGCCAGGTTCGTGAACAAAAGAAAGCTTTATAACACCGCACAATCTGGGCTCATTTTCGGAGGCTGCAGGCCTGGCTGAAATACTCAGGCTGGAATTCTCAATATATTTTGTCTGTCAGGCTAGAGTGGACACCAGACAGTCCTTCACGTGTTTGTAAGTGTCCACTAAATGAAGATAGTAATTTTTAAAGAATTTTGAAAACAGAAAAAAATGATAAATATCCTGGCCCAGCATCATCAACATTGATAACTGCCCCGGCAGGAAGTGGTTAAAGCATGATCAGGGTCACCTAAAGAGGCAGTTTAGGGTGATGAATTCTGAAAGTTGTTGATTGAATTCATTGATGGGTTGATTGAGTAGCTTTGAGGTGAATGAAATTAACTCAGTACAGAGCTGTCTGCCATTTTACATCGTGTCCATCATGGATGCAAAGTACAATTTAGGGATCAGTAGATTTGAAAATCTGAAAGAAGTCAACTGGTTTGGTTTGTGGAGTAGTCATACAGCATGAAGCACTCAGTCATCCTAGGGGAAAACTACAGGATAAGAGCATGATCACTAACCATTTCTGAATGGAGTTTTTTTAATTATTTGTTTTGCTGTCTCACTGATGCGCTTTCATAACTCTATACTCAGTGGTGTCAAGCGCTCACCCAAAAATTCACAAACTTACGCAGGTTAGACATGAACCCACAACCTCCTGCTTACTGTGCAGATGTCTTAACCACTCGACCATGGACCTTGCCGGGTCGGCTGGCCGACCTGAGTCAGATGTAGCAGTGGTTACCACATCCCAACAATTTTCAAGGATGCACATTTTACCGGGGAGACCTCTACACTTGGATGTCATGAGTTGGAGGGAACATTTGGACAACTCTGAGTATACAGCGTTATGAATATATTTTGGTGTAATGGCAAAATCCCTACTTGAAATTAACATCTCCCTGGGATGCAGTGTGCATCTTTGGAAATAAAGTGCTGAATTAGTTTCTGGGTTGATTAGTGACATGGTTTGTTGGATGAACAGTGGACATTACTTCCCATGATAGCATCTTTGCGAATTTAAGAAGAAGCACAAGATAGGTGTTTGATCATTTTCAGTTAATGTAGTTGTGACAAATGGATGTTTTTGTTGAATGGCTGGTGTATATGATTAGTCATGCTGAGGGAACATACAATGCAGAAATGGATTTTTCGTAAAATCATCCTTTGATCATTTTACTGATTCGATTCGCAGGCCGATCTGATCAATAGAACCATCAGTAAACCTGTTGAGGGCCGTCTACGGAGACTCTTCTATCCAGCTGTGTGGATGCACTTCAGGAAGTCTGATCACCACACAGGCCTGCATGTCAAAGTCCAGAAAGTGCAGGTATGATAGCACCAAAACCATTAGAAACCCAGCAGAGCCACTTGAGATGTTTCGGAATGAGACATCTCCAGACTGGTTTTCTGAAACCAGCCTTGAAGCAAGTCGCTAAGGGTTGTTGCATGGGATTTGAACAAACTCTTCTTTTTCGTCAGTAATTTGTGGGATGGGAGTTTCTGTACATGTGTGTTACAACATCTCATTGGATATTGAGTTTGAACATATTTCATGGCATTGTTGAACTTCAATGGGCGAATCCGGTCCAAATAGTTTTTAAAATCAACATGTGATCCTGAGTATTCCCATAAAATTCCCATCCTGTTTCAAACAGAATTCTTTAAGTAATATGAATTCATATCTTGAAATTTGAAAGTCTCCCAGTGTTGTACACTAACTGTTACCGATCTTCCGTGTTGTTTAATGTGGGTTTCTCTCATGCAGATTGACAATCAACTCTTTGATGCCTACTTCACAACGGTCCTGAATGTCCTTCCCATTCCAAAGGACATTCTGAGGAAGACAGGGCCCCGACCATTCATTGAGATGTCACTACTGCGACGTCAGGTACCAGAGAACGATGTGGACACTGTCAAGTGAGTATTGTGGAAATGTTAAATGTGAGTGCAGTCTTTGGACAATTCTCGGAGGAATTCCTTTTATTCACGTTTTTGCCTTGTGTATGTTGACATGGATTTGAAGTCACATCTATGAATCTTCATCACCAGGATGCCAACATGGCAATGCCATCCCAATTGTTGACAAAATTGTGAGGTTTGAAATATAAGATGATTCCTCAACTTGTCTTTGTAATTTTGTGTTCGTTTATCATACAAATTGTGTAATCCATGAAATAGTACGTACACATAGGTTTTCTTCCCTCTTTTTATTTACCTTTTTCTGGTCACACTCTCACCTTTACCTGGTCAGGTATTTCAAGGTGCTCATTCAAGAAGCTAGTGTGAAGATCGACAATGGATTCCTGCTGTCTGTTGTTGACATTGTGTCTGGACTCCAAGAGGAAGAAGATGAGGTCAGCTGATAAGACATTGTGTGTGGCATCCTTGCTGCCTTGGAGCCTGACCCCTTGTGAAGTATTGATGACCAAGCTGAGAACAATATTAGTAGTGTTAAAGGCCCCCGGTAGCTTGAAGTCTTCAGTATTTTAGTCATGGTGTGCATAGTTCAGGAGAAAACTCATGCAACTCTGGAACCATTTGTTCCCACATCACCTAGCACTCCCAGTCTAATTCATAGGACCTATTTACATTGTCAATGGAAACAGTTTGATTGGCATTTTGAGGCTTAAGGCCGGTTCATACTTGGCCGAAAAGCAAAATCGAATACATAATTGTGAGGTCAGATCAAACCTTTGTGCTAATTCAAAAAAATAGAACACATTTCAATTCATGTAAATTTCACTGCTTGTGTTTGGAGATGTCAAATTGGCTTTTCTGCTGCCTTTCACCTTAAGCATGAACCCACCTTCAGAATGCTACAGATACTTTTTAAATGCAAGCAGTGTTACAGCCTACATACAGACCTTCTTCAGGTTAACCAACTTGACACATTGTTACCTGCCAAACCTAACTTGAATGCATTCCATGTATTATCCCTTTGTAATAGGTTGTATCATTGAAGGCTGATCTGTCTTACATACAACGTTCCCTTCGTGAATCCTCATCTGTCGTTGCTGACGGAAAGTTGCCCATATACTTTGAGTACTTTCATCTTTCACCACTCAAGGTCAGGACACAAAGTGTATTAAGGCTAAGTTTGCCTTTGAAAGTTTGGGCTATGGCTTGCAATAACTCAAGGGTCTATTGAAGCCACTGGCTAGCACTACCGCCACTTCCCATAGATGTGTGTTACTGCTAGCCATAGTCAAGACTTTCAGACACAGCTTAATTATTATGATTGTGCTTTGAATTTTTTAAACTTTAATTCATTCTTCATTCAAAATTAGAGAATGTACACATAACGCAGGTCACGGTTTTGAAAACTTAAACACGTGCAGGGTGTACACACCATTATGAAGACAGAAACGAAATACTACAAGTACAGTTTAAAAATTACTGCAAAACCATTAATACATTAAAATGACACAACCAGCTTAAAACTTAAGAGGGTAAATAATAACATTGTTTAAGATATCACGTGCATATTTTAGAAATTTTATTAAAATTGGTAAAAGTTCATTTAAAGTGCAAACGTGAACAGTTAATGATGTAACAAAGGCAACAAACCTGACAGAATCCCGAGCTCTAATGACCTAGGCAGTTGCTTCATTGTTGGTCAGAAAGACAAGTTTTTGACCAAGTGAAAAGTAATACAAATTATATTCATGGAGAGAACAGTTTCACGACGCATCAGAGTGGCATCTTCAGCTCTGACTGATTGGCAGGCAGTTTGGCGGAAGGCAGTTTCTGTGCTTGCTGTACATGGAGTGCATTGGGAAAGGCAGAAACTGTTTAGCAGTGATTCAACATTGGCTGTTAGGTACAAGATGAATAACATAATTGCAGATTTTAGTCGTTAAATTTCTGGCTGCTTCCCAACCCTTTTCCTCTAGATCATTGTCAGTTTGTCTCTGAGTGGGGAGCCCCACGTTGTTGCCAGACCAACAAGCTTCAAGAGGGATTTGGTACGATTCTTTGTTGAGTCAGTTGGCTCAACGCTGTCTGAGGTCACTGAGGTGGAATTGAAGTAAGTAGACTGTAAAGTTTGGAAGGATTTCATTTGTGAAAAAGAAATTGCACAAGGTTTAAGATAATCAAACAAACTTGAGGCCTGTGAGTAGGTTGTTTTCAACAATGAGCTAGTGCGGTATTTAAAAAACCAAGGTCTTCCGGAAACAAATCAGCATGTAAGTCAGCGTATGGCACTACGCTGATAGGACAAACTGTCACGCACATGTTTAGCTGTTCCCAAATAACTTTGTTCTGGGCATATGCTGTTGGAATACTGAACTGTCTCATTAATGGAAAGTGGTTGAGCAGGAAGCAAGTATATGGTACCCTGACTACCTTTCACACTTTTCTCTGGTACCAGACTGGCCTTCTTTGAGAGAACCAACATCCTTTTGACCCCTGACCAGCTGCTGGAAGATGTCAAAGGTCACTACATCTCTCAAGGCATCAAGCAGGCCTATGTCTTCATCCTTGGCCTGGATGTCTTGGGCAATCCCTACGGTCTCTTCAGAGGCGTCAAGGAGGGTATCAGTGACTTCTTCTATGAGCCATACCTGGTAGGTTCAAGTTTTTTGTTTTGCTTTATCAAATTGTTATGGAGGTGTATTCATATGTAGAGTTTGGGTGTAACATCAGGTGACTACCTAGAAAACATCCTTGCGCATTGGCCTGCCTGTTAACAATAGAACACCCAAAGTGGCTACTTAGTATTCCATCAAGGAGTGTTTAGACTAGAAGGGGCACAAGCTTGGTCTTGAAAATTTCTCTTATCTCTTTAAGGTAAAGCTGTCGTCTCCTTGGTTTTGCATGTGCTGAATCCAAGTTCGAGGCTCACTCATCCAAACAGTTTGAGATTACATGCTGTGCATTGAGCAAAATATCAAGTAGTTGAGGCTATCACAGCAACTTCAATTTACCTGAAATAACATTTATTATACTACACAATATACTGTTCACATGTTGGTGACTATTGTAAAGATAAGCTAATTACATGTAACTAATATCGTTACTCTATCTTATTTTCTTTAACGTAGGGTGCTATCCAGGGTCCAGGAGAGTTTGCCGAGGGTCTTGCAAAAGGTGTTCAGAGTCTTCTAGGACACACTGTTGGTGAGTCCTATTGGAAGACTGAGTCATCATAGAAAGTGCGCTCAGTTCCTGTAATTGTTACAATCCAGATCAATTTATCATTTGTTTCATTCCCTTACTCACTGAATCTAATTGTAATTGGCTGCAGGTGGTGTTGCCGACACGCTTTCTGGTTTGTCTGGTACCCTAGGTAGAGCACTGGCCGTCCTGTCCTTTGATGACGATTACCAGAGGGTAGGCAAAAAGCCACTTGATTTCACTGAAAAGCTCCCCTTGTTCCCTGTTTAATTTCACACCACACCACACTACGTTCAGTTTGCTAGACGTACCCATCGTGCAGACTTACACAAGTCACATAACCCCAAACAGTAATGCGAGTAACCGAGTTTTAGGAAGATGTGTTGTATTGGCGCTGCACTGTGTCGGGCTTGAGTACACTGGTACCAGATTCTCCCAGCACCACAGTTGACAACAGTTGTGGTATATGATGGCTCCAGAGAATAACGAATCATTCTGAGAGAGTTAGGGTTAGATTGTGATGAAAAGATGGGACAGAGAGGCATTCCACTCCATGCCTTGGTTCAGTTTTTGCTCTTGTTTCTTTTGGGCAGAGGCGATTGCAGCGAATGCAGCGTCACCCTGATAGTCTGCCCAAGACCTTCTTGTATGCAGGCCAAGGATTTGTCATGGTAAGATAATGATCTCAACCTGTGAAATTTTGATGGCCTTTCCAAGGAGTGATGCTAAATTTCAGGGCTTTTTCCCCCACTTTGGGAAGGGAGCATAATGACTCCCCCCATTTGCTTTTTTTCTCAATTACTTTTTTCAAACAAATGGGGGGGGGTTCTGTTGGCCCCCTGAATCTGCCTGTGTCAGCTTTGTGAAGCCATTTATACTTATCTGATAAGCAGTGCTCCTAGTCATGATCATTTCAGTACGTTCATTTGCAGTTTCTCAGACCATTGGCTTATTGCTGTGATGTAACTGTGATTAATCACCTTCCAACAGCATTATTACACAAGGAACTTGTGCTGAAATGAGAAAATATTACTACTGCTGTCCACTACCAAGTTGAACTTTTCAAATGCTGACCCATCATTGTCATCTGCTCAAAAATGATGCAAAATTTCTTACAGCATAATTGCTCCTTTGAAATCTTAAGACAGAGCAATATTTGCTACAAGCCTGGCCTCGATATACAGCCACTTGAGGGCGACGCACGGGATTCAACCTTCACAGACTAGTTTGAACCTCAGTGATGGTGCATACTGACTAGGAGTCACTTAACCCAGATGATGAGTGGAGACGTTACACTCTACTGAATTCATCTGAATGTGTTTACATGCCCTCTGCATTCCAACATAGGAAATCTCTACATGTGTACATGCCTTGTGGCATAGCATGGTTAACAGCAAGCTCATGAAATCATTTCCTTTGACTGCCCATTTTCAGGGTTTTGTCATGGGTCTGTCCGGGGTCTTCACCAGCCCCATCAAGGGGGCCCATGACGGGGGCCTAAAGGGCTTCTTCAAGGGGATTGGTAAGGGCCTCTTGGGCCTTCTCAGTAAGCCAGCAGGTAGCTTAGTGGATGGGGTGACTGTCATCTTGGATGGAATTGAGAGAGCCACAGAATTGGGAGAGAACATCGTCATCAGGATGCGCATCCCAAGGTTTATCAATCCTAGTGTGGTAAGTTGAGAGGAGTTTGGTATTTGCTAGGTGATAATAAGGACACACTAGACCAAACATTTGAGAAAGATCTTCCCAGAGATGGTAGTAAATAATTCTTAAGATGCACCACCAGGAACTTCCTTGTCTAAAGGTGCTGTACTGCTGGAAATCGTTCACCCTGCTTGTTCATTAGATGCACAAGATGCAGTAATATGTAACGTGAAGTGAAGTATCTCTGGATGGCACATTGAAATTACAGCATTGCATATTAACCGTAACCCCCTGGGCCATTTTTGCTAGGAACCCTCCTCTATCCTCCGAAATCTTCCAAAATGTCTTGAAAATGTTACTTGGAGGTGTGCCTACCTGGTTTATCCTTAATCCTTCAAAATCCTCTGGCAATTCCTGTCATTATGCTGAGGCAGTGCGAATGGCATTCTTGAGCAGTGCAGTTGATTCAAAAGAAATATTGAATGTATGCATGACTGAGCAACAACAAGGCAAGGTCTAACCCACAGTCTCCACGCATGGCATCCTTCACAATCAGCCATGAACTTTTGCCATTCTCCCTCTGTCCTCCAAAACCGCCCAAAGGATTTTGGAGGATTGAGGAGGGGCTAGGGTTAGTGTTGCAAGGTACACGTTGTATATGCTGTCATTGGGGTTAGTGTAACCAGCATCTGTTTGTCTCCTATTATATTATGCAGTGAATGACCATTTTTAACATTCTTTGTTGGATTGAATATTTCCCTCCTTACTTTTTGTGTAATGTGTTCCATTTTTTAAAACATTTTATATCAATTCAACGATAGATATGGTTGCCAATATTTGCTAGATCAGGGGGGAAGACGTAAAGGCTCAGTAAAGATTTGCATTGGCCAAGCCTTTTCTTCCTCTACGCTGTGCATGGTGTCACTAAGTGATTTTTCAAAGAAGAGTCTGCATAATGAGTCATTGTAAACCATCTACTTGTTTAACAAATTGTTATTAAAAAGAAAGGTAAGGAAGCAGTAGAAGTCAATGTAAACAAATTTAAACCATTTTTTTGATTTATGAAGGGTCTGGAGCCATACTCATTGTATGAAGCCAAGGGTAACTCCATACTGCATAAGATCCGTCGATCCGACTTGTATCAGACTGATGTGTACTTCTTTCATGCTGTGGTCACCTCAGACAGTACACCAGATGTAGTCCTCCTCACCGACAAGTAAGTGGGCATATCTGTCCCATTGGTGCCTCTTTTTCAATGCAGCTAGGCCTCCATGCAGCTCTCAAAAACTACATCTTGAATTTCCTCATTGTTCTGGATGCCCATTGGCACACTGATTTTAGTTGAACCCTTGTTTTCACTGAAACTTTCAAAAGTTTTTTCGAGGTGGAACTGGGTATTTTAGGCAAATAACCGGTAACCGCATTGTGTCTTCAAGGACTGCATCAGTGTCAAGGACAACCAGTACATCAGTGTAAGATGATGAATAATTTGAAATATATGCTTTACTATATCTGAATGTTTTAAACAACATTTTAAGATAATGAAACTTAGGCATGAAACCCAAAATAGTCTGGTACCGCCCCATTTTACAGAGTACAAAGATAGATTCAGGGAACATGATCAAAATGGCTTCCTTGTGAATATGATCTACTGTGTCATCAGATTAAATAGTCGCGCTGCAAATTTGCAACATACTGAACACGCCTTACTTGAAGCCAGCCAGTACTTGTATTTTTGTAACATGTGTCAGCAGTTTTTGAAAGCGCTGTTCTATGATAGCATCCTAACATGTTAGACCATTTGGCTCTTGACTGACTGATTTGTCATTTGTGTGTCAGGAGAATCCTGGTATTGGAGAGATGTCGATGGTGGGGTGGCTGGGACTTGGAGCAATGCGATCTCTTCAATTCATTGATTGGAGATCCAACACTGGGACCAAACAAGATCATCTACAAAGTCCAGGTAAGTTACAAAGTGGACTCCTTCGTATTGAAAACAAAATTGTTCAAGCTGATTAACAGCCTTATCAAACATCCAAGCCTTATATTGACTTTCTGCACTAGAGTTATGCCAGGATCCAATTGGTGTTTATTTTCTCCCTTAACACTTACATGTATGTTGACTTTGAATTGATAAGATCAGTTCCATTTTCATGGTACATGGGTACCTTCTACAAGGAGTTCCATGGTATTGTACCGTACATGTACATGTATTGCACCATGCTGGGATGGACAATAGCTTGTGTTGATGCGTGGATGGTGCATTAATGAAAATGGTTGGTGGTAGAGTTGAAGTTTACAAAGTTGCAGGTGACATGGTCATTTAAGGCATTGTAAACATCACCAGTTCAAGGGGACATGTCTGCCATGCTCTAATTTGTTGACAAGTTAATCATCACATTGGCCATATGTAACGCACTCAGTGCAAATGAGGTATCCTGATGAAAAATACACAGTATGTGCAGTAATTGCAAAATGTAAAAGGTTCCTGTTGCTTTACATTGTTCAAGATTCTTTTAACTCAAACATGGCTCTGGTGACTTGTTACTCACTGTCATAGATCATAAATTGCTCAAGTAAAAAACTAGTATCCTACGTCCTAGTGACGGAAATTGAGAATTTTGAGAAACTTATATTTTGACACCTGATGCGGGTAACAGGTTCCTTGTAAGAGTGCCGCTTTGGTTAGTATGGGCGTATTCATCACTCCATTTTGTACTGTTGCAAGTTTTCTTGATTTAATGACCTGATTTTTTTACTCTACAGCCAGAGGGTTCGGATATCGTCAATAGAGAAATTCGATGTGATGACGAGGAGACAGCACAGGTGAGTTGTTAGGATCAGCTCTCGCAGGAGGAGAAATTTCGCAGGAATTAATGCCAAGAATTTTCATAAATTCTGCCGTATTTCATGAGTTGCTCTCGCTCAGTGTCGTTGGGTCTTGGGGGTCTAGGGTCACTAGCTTTTCAAACAGAATGTATAAACAAAGACCTTGGCATATTGCTGTATGTGTTGCAGTGCTGACAGATGTCTGGAAAGGTGTAAAAGCGTCACACTGGCTTAGCAACGCTTGGTTCGTCTTGTATGAGTTTTCCCTCATTTTCCATAGGAACATAGATGTTTGCATTGCTTGACTAGGGTTTACCATTCCTTTGACAGCCAAGCTCATCCTCAAAAGAGCCCGGTCATTTTCACGACCCAATAGGGATGGGGGAAGGGGCGGAGAGTCTGTTCTATTTGCAGATCTTGGCAGTTCAATAACAGATTGGATTAAATCCAGTTTGCATCCGCTGAATTTCAGTTTAAGTGAAGCGAGGGGGGTTGTTGTGCGTGGTCATTTGTGATACACAATATTCAGTTTGTGAGTTTAGCTATTATGTACCAGTGCAGCGTCTATTAAACAGGTGTTACTGTTATTGGAAAACATTCATAGTCCCAGTAACTCAATGCCCCCTTGTCATTACTGTGGAATACAAGAAAATGTTAAATTTAAATGTTAAAGGTATCAGCATGTTTGTTTTTGACTATCTAGGACTATTTTTAGTGTATAGATTGTGTATCTTTCTAGTGTCAACATTATCAATCATACATGTGTTTGAACCACTATCTATGAAATGTGTACCTTTTTGGTTGGTTGGTTGCCAATTTGGGGTTATGGCTTTGAACTTGGAACTTTGAAGAGCAATGAAAATAAATATTTCTCTTTCATTTTGGTTTCCACTGTAACAGTGGGTGCTGACCAAACTTCAGGTGGCTCTCAACCAAACTAGCCTGGATAGCCCTGTCGTTGACGCCTTCCTGACAGACGTAGACCACTGATAGGCAAGACCCAGGCTCATTACACTGCAGTTCCAAGGTATGCAAGTCTCACACCAGCATCAATTCCATAGATACAGTGTATGCATAAATGTATGCATGTACATTGTAATGTATGTAATCATTGTACAAGTCAACAAGATATAAACTGTAAGGAAAAAAGCAACAGTGTACCTTGGACACTACGCCCATTTGCAAAAGTTGGGCAGAGACAAATAATTCCATGATAATATTCAACACCTGAAATGAGTCCATATGTAGCTACCCTTACTATGAGGTAGTCTGTTTACTTTTTATGATTGTTTGGAAGCATATGGTACAGTGAGATACTACTGTAAAGTGTATGTCAAGAATTCTGTTAAATGTCCATGTGATGTACCGTGATGGTAATATTGAAATATGTGTTGTTCTGCTTCAGTTGCAAATTGTGTGGCCAAAGACTATCTTGAACCATTCTTAAATGACAACAGTACTGTACTTGCATGAAATTATAGTTAAAAGTACTTTATTAATATATGTAATTGTACTCGGAATCAAAATTGAATTCACCTTTCCACTGAGCGTTGGAGGACTGAGTATACTCTTTGGTAACTTTAAGAGAGATCACAGAAATATGTCGTTGTTCAAGAGGAAAGCACTTAGTGTGTCAGTTTTCATTCCATTATTTTGCTATGGTATTTACTAAATGTTAACAGTCACTGTTGGTATTTGCCCACTCTGACAACAGTAAGTAACCCAGATATATGCTTTATATTATTGAAATGCTTGCTGCTTTTAACAAGATTAACAACATATAATGACCCTAACATTAAATAACATTGCTTTTGTCTGTATGTCTTGGTCAAATTAACTATTGACTTAAATATTAAAAGAAATCATGGTATGGTCATAGTAGACTCTGGAACGCCATTCAGTTGAAATCTTTATTTTGTAGTTGTTCTTTGCAGGAAACTGGCTCTTAAATGTATACCTTGATAACACAGTTACATGTACTTAGTGTGATCAATGTTTGGCCAAATTTTTTAGTTTCCGACAGGTCATGGGAAACAGTGTTTTTCATGGCCATTTCTATTTTGTTTTCAATTTTGATTACTTCACATGTACTGAGATACAGTAGACACATTTATGTAATCAAACACTGTTCATTCCTGCTGTTTGCAGAAAGCAAAGTTAACTATTTGTAACATTGGTGAAATTGTTAGATGTTTAACTTTTAGTCTTTGTATTTGCTGGTTTTGTTTTCACTTTTAAATGCATTTTAATCAGTTCTTAAACAACATTCAATGATATGGATTGGTTTTAAATGTGACGTTTAACATATTAACAGATAGATGTGTTTAAAGATGCTAAATGTTTCTTTTGAATAAGCATTGTTTCCTGTCAGCACTAATTTATCCATGAAATTTTAACAAGCCCTGAGCTGGACCAAAAGAGGGGGCAATTTTCCTAGCAGTGGAGGCTCCTTTGGTCGGAAATACACTTCACTGGTTCGCAAACGACAATGACATGCACACAAGGGACGCGTTGCTACCAACAAAATGAACACTCCCCACCAACATGGCTCTTTTTAACTCATAAGGAGTGCCTCTTTGAGTAGAGTTTGTTTCTTCAATTAGAACTACAACCTAGAACCATTTATCGGTCATTTCATGATCTGGCCAGCATGTTAAGGTTGTTTGTGAGTTTTTATTGAAATTCTTTGCATTTGGAAGATGTGGTAGCAGTGTGTAAGAAATATTAACAATTTGCCGCAAGTTCTGCTCATAGCTAGAGGTAGTGACCTAAGGTGAAATATCAACAATTATTACCTAAACAATGGCCAAAAATGTATTATTCAGGTAAAAATTTGAACTGAATCACCTTGTGCAAACGTGTATTGCTTTTGAGTTCCAATAGTCTTGTAATATTGCATTGTAGTTCACTTATTGTTGACTGTGTATTGACAATCCCAATTCTGAGATGTTTCAAATTGTACTTATGTAGGTTGGGAGTGTTCAATGTACTGTAGTTTTAATTAATGCCCTCAAAAAATACACATGCAATCCTATATACATTGGCCTTTGAGGATCAACGTCTCTTGTAATCTTGTTGGGATGAGATTCTGTAATGTTAACTGAAAATCAAGATGTTTTGTGTTTTTGTGGTGTAGTCTTTGTTTGACTAGTATCATTAGCAAGTGTTGTAGGTCAGATCCTCATATGAATGAATGGTTTGAGATCAGGCAAATTACAAAAGTATTACACCCCTCCTATCCCAAAGCATAATTAGGACACAAATCGGGGGACTAGTGCCCTTATTGATGGATGGGGTTTCCCTACCATCTGCAGTTTGAGTTGGTGATTTCAAACAAATGATTTTGAATTTCACCATAGTATGACAGGGACAAGACATCTGACTTCGGCAACTTTCAGGGGCATAAGTGTTTGGAACCAAAATCCTGACCCCCTCTCCCTCCCGTGGTGGGACTGGTTGGACACCATATTGATAATGTGACTTGTTGAAGCGTGGTGCACTGTAAAAATACAGCACAAGGTTCTTAAGTTTGAATAAGGGAAAGTCACAGCCATTCCTTTACACAGACAACACTTTATAGGCTGTTGGATTATATTGTGAATAGCTGTCATATTGAACTGATTACTTGTTAAGCATATTTCAGATAGTTGCTGGATTATTCCAAATATTCCCTTGTTTGTAACTGGTGCAAATAGCAGCAGCATAAATATGGTACCAGAAGGGGGCTTATGCAGGCATCTGTTAAGGTATACTGTCAGCAGTTTGGTTTCTGTTTATTCGTTTTAGTAAAATGTAACAGTTTTTCTTGTAAGTTGACCTGGCCTAAACAAAAGTTTGTTCTGTTAACATGATGAAGTTTAAGTTTGGGTCCAGTCTCAAGGAAAGTTTTTGTAAGGCTGAAAAAGTACAATAACCTTTGTTGTGTATCAAAAGCCAAACCAACTCAGAGTCATGTGCTTGATGTTCATTGTTGTGTCACCATTTCAACAACGAAAACTGCACCTTTGACGTTTACTTGCCGTCATCATAACTGCTGAAATACTGTATCTAAGAAAGGGGCAAGATTCAAGCTGTATTTCCTGAGGCAGTATTGAAAACTTGTATTGATATTGGACCATTGAGGATTGTAAGGAAATCTTATAGGAAGTCTTGCGCTGGGATGTATTCTCAGCCCTGTGCAGTTTAAAGTTAAGGACAGAAAAGTCAGGTAAAATCATGATTTGAAATTTCACAATTGATAAGCGTAATCCATTTCTGTACTACCATTACCCTGAATTTAGCGTTATGACCTATCCTAGGAAAGTTCTTTTTTTCAGTTCGTATGTTTAATACTTTTCATTGCTCTTTGCAGTAACTTGTAAAAGCAATTGTGTGCAATATTAGAAAACTGTATATTGGAAATAAATCTTGAAGCTGCTGTAGAGCATTCCCATTGTGTCTTTGCTGACGAAGGTGGTGGACGGAGCATTAGGGCCTTCAGTAAGCTCACATTCATCAAACTGCAATGCACACCTAAACACTTTGCACTTTGGCTACATGTACGTCAAATGTGGCTGTGATTGGAAGTCAGGCTGAGTCCAAATTATACTTACTACGGCTGGTAATTACTATGTGTGAGTCAATGGGAACTTGATAAAGGTCCAAGTGGACCTCTGTATGCAGTCTACATTTTGTAGGCAGAGACAAAACTTACGATGTACCGAATCCAACGATTTCCCATGGACAAGTGAGCAGGAGGAGATTGTTTCCCGGCAAAATGAACAACGAAGAAGCTTTCCTGCTACTGTAAACCTAAAACCACTGCCAATCTTGCAGCCAAAACAAGCTTCACGTTCGAGTTCAATATGCAAGCGGCGGCGAACAACCTGGACCAGTACAAAAGCGGGCTTGTCTCCCGACATGCTCGAGTGTATGCAGGTAGGCCCTATGCATGCTTGGGCTGGCATGCTAGCCTTGCTAAGTTAAGCTCATCAGCGTTCACAGATGGAAAAATAGGCAAAGATTTCCATAAGAAGTTAGGTAGTTCTCCTCTGTTGTACCTGCAAAACTATGAGAAAGAGTTTCATGTAGGAAGTTCCCAAATCATGTCTGAAAAGAAAGGTAACCTCTTCTTGTTCATTTTACTGGGAAACAATCTCCTCCCGCTCACTTGTCCATGGGAAATCGTTGTATCCGGTACATCGTAAGTTTCGTCTCCGCCTACAAAATGTAGACTACATACAGAGGTCCACTTAGACTTCGCTTTGATTGCCTTGTTTCTCACGGACATCTGTCGCCTTTTGCGGTCCTGTGAAAGTTTGAAAAAATGCAGCTCTGGCATTCGTTGAGTGCTTGATAAACTCAATGGACCAGGTCGATACTCAAGCCATATAGTATACGTTACACATAGCGTGTCACGTCAACGCATTCCTGCAACATCCCCACCTTTCACCCACAATGCACCGCGGTAAACACTGCATGACATCATTATGTTGTAGGTCTATTGCAATTTCAATAGACATGCAGTTAGACTGGACTGGAAAGCATGGGCCACTTCCAAAAACTCCTCGTTTTGAGGCTGCTACTTTGTGAAGTTATAGTGACACTGACAATCAGTACAATTTGAACCAAGAGACATTGAAGAATTTCCGAGAGTGACAGCAAATGGTGTTCTTCATTCAGACCCTACTTGTATTCCAATAAGGAGAGACAAACAGAGTGCCCTCGGGTCACATACCAAAAAACACTGTTCTATCATTACCTTCCTGAAGCACACACCGGACAATTGAGTCCTCGTCATAGAAACCCAGGAGTTGATAAAAAAAGACAACGCCAATGGACATAACCACCTATCGACTTGACCATAAGTCAAGTTTGATGGTACATTGATGTAACAGCACTGAGCCAACCTCGATGGCCAAACTTCTTTATTGAGGGAACTTACAATTTTGTTTACACTTACTTAGATTTACTACATAGTTATCTTTGCGATTTTCTGAATCAGAATAGGGTCGGCCCATCATCTTTTAATAGTGGGGTATTATTTTTCTATCGCCCAACCTTCAAGTTTGACATCATTTTCAATCCTGTCTCTTTCCATTTATGACATGACAATGCCCTTGACATGGACCTGGTTGTATTTATGTAGCTTTTCGTTGTCACCAAGTGCAAAGTGCTTTGACATGTCTGGGCTGTATTTAGAGGCTGGTGGTTGTCGACCTATGGTTTCGGAGAGTGTACGTGTATAGTGAGCCCCATTCCCACAACACAGGCCCATGTACTGGATGTCGAGATCAAGGCACTCTTGCCCAAATGCCACAATGTCATCGCGAGTACAGGCGGCGCAGTCCAAATTGGTTGGGAAAAGTTGCTTTCCTGCGTCATAAAAAATACAAACAGCAATGTTTACCCGGTACAACTACTTCATTTTGTATTTCAAATCGTATTTTTTTCACCACAGAAAGGCTAGACTGGTTCAGGACACAACCTTTGCTCTGCATATGCAAACAGGTGTCTGTGACAGATTAGGAGTTACACATTAAGTTCCAATAACTAGTGAATTAATCAGATAATCCCCCTTTCACCTACCAGTCAACGGATCTTTCAACACCTGCATGTTTGGAGCATCCTCAGTTGTGCGATAAACTACAGGAAGAGCGGCAATAGGGACCTACATGTTTACAATAAGGACACAATTAGAAAATGATTTCGTTTGTAATTATTCAACCATGATTGATATAACATTGACATTTTGTGAAGTTGACATTTTAACCGGCTGACAGTGATTTGCAAATATTTTTCCCAGAGTGGGATGAATTACCTTGAGCACCTTCTTGAGTTCTTTTAGAAGTGGCACGGTAGTGGCTGGACCCCGAGCACAGTTCAAACCTAACACATCGGCACCAGCAACCTCAAGCTGCTGGAACGCTGCGCACATTTCCACACCGTCCAGAGTGCAAAGTTTACCGTCTACCACATTGCGGTAGAGAGACATAGTGATCACGGCAGGAAGGCCTGCATTGGAAGACGAAAATGTGTCAGCCAATATTGCTGTGGAAGTTTGGGGGTTGATGTGCAAATAAAAAGAGATCAAGTGTTCAGTCGTTTCAGACTTGTGAGTTAATTCCACCTTTCTCCCACATTTCTGACAAACACTGAATTTATTTGCCAATTTTTCCGCAATCCAATTGTTAGTAGACAAAAGTTGCTTTTCTTGTCAAGTGATCATAAATGTTCAGCAGCAAGCACGTTGTGTTGTTTTGTTTTTACCTTTGCCATATTTTTTAATTGCTGTTAGAGCAATCATCGCTTCCCCGAGGTCACCGAATGTCTCTGCCACGATGTAATCAGCTCCTTCCTCCACTGCCCATGCTATCTGCTCCTGGTAGGGGGGTCGGGAAATTTGGGGAAAAAAACCTCAGGTGAACATTGTGGAGATTAAACCCACATAGCAGCAAGAGAAAAATTTACAGGATGAGTTTGCTTCTAACCCAAGTCAGGCATATGGAAGACTCAAGTCACGAAGGTGTAAAGCTAAAGGGGAACTACAATGCCAACCCGAGTTCCTCCATACACGGGGGAATTTAAAGTTACTAAATTCCATGTAGATCTGCGTGGTCACTTTTCAACTTTCCTCCCGTTTTTTATTGTCTGCACATTTGTATATCTGAAACACTTTGATTGCAGTATGCATTTTATTTCCTGTCGCTTCTGTGTTGATCAATGAGGTTGACCAACATGGTAACAACTTTTCATTTCTCCCCATTTTTGCAAGTTGTTTCTTTAAAATTTCAGCTTCAATAAAAACATCTAAATATTCATAATAACCGTCAAATTTTTTCAGTTCCAACGCAACTATAGTACTTTTTTCATGGTTTTGTTGCTGCCACAAATCGCATCACACAATAATACAAAAATGTTTTGATCCAAAAGGTGGTTGTTTGACAGCATTAAGCTGACAATGCAGATGGTTTACCTTGAATAGACCATCGATTTTCGGTTGACAATCTGGATGCTTTGAGTCGAATAATGTTGAATTGCAGATGTTCCCAGCCATGAGTGCTCCTGTCTCGTTGGCTACTTCTCTTGCAATACGTAAGGCCTGTCTGTTCATCAGTTCTAAATCCTTGTCTCGATCAATCAAGGCTAGCTTTTCACGATGGGCATAGTACTACAACAAAGAATTGGCATCCAGAAGATGATTTTTTTCCAAAGGGCATTTACGACAAATTTGGTGACACTAGAATGATCTTGTTGGGGTGGGGAGGGGGGTCATTTGTGCTCACTCAGCTTTATTATCAGGTAATAATTGTTTTAATCATCGTTTAATAGGACATTATTAAATAATTTTTTGGACAGCGGTCATTATATCTTGATGAATAAGCCTCCAAATTATGGGAGAGCTGTGATGCACTAAAACGGTGAGCTTTTCCAATGCAACGTTTACACCAGTGTCAAGAATTTGTCATGGCACTGCATGAATTCTGGGAACACAGACTTGGATTACGCCCCAGTAGTTACGATTCCCCCAAAAGACTACAGAAAAGACTGCATAAACGTACCGTGAATGCCAAGACAACATCGCTCCCAGCATGAACAAACTCGCGATACAGCTGCCGTACAAGTTCTGGATGTTCCAGAACTACCTCTGGGACGAAGGCCCCAGCTTTGAGATACCCGCGACGCTCAAACACAAACAAGTAGCCTTCGGCACATATGACTCGCCCTCCATTTTTCAATCGCTCCAAAAGTCCTCCTGCGACAAAAACAAGTTCACAAAGGCCATAATGAACATTCACTGTGTAACCACCAATTTCCAACTAGCTGTTGCTTGACGTGTAAAGACCTATTATAAAATTATATCACATTATCATAGGCCTACATATATTCGGAATGCAGTGGACGATAACGAATTTTACGTGCTCTCACTGAATGCATTCCACATCTTACAAACTTCGTAAGCACACAATTACCAGATTACAGGTCAACCCTTTACCTATTTCCAGAACTGTAAGGTTTTCACAAACCAAACGGAGTGATAGCCATGTACATGTAAAACTCCCATAAACACATTTTGGCTGTTTTGATTGTGCCAACTTTCCCTTCCATCACAGGTAGTTGTGCAACCAAATTTCTAGACCCGTAAACAGGGCCCGACGAATACCCCTCTGTCGTATACTGGGCCCTGTCCCGATTCAGAGGATTTCTTTCGAAAAAATTATCCGGGATATCCGGGTGCATAACTAAACATCCGCTTGATTTTATGAGCTGAAATTGCACCGGTGTGTTCACTACTGTTAACTGTAGAAAACTCGCCCTTTTCTCAATTGAGGGAAAAAAAATTGCCCTTTTTTGACGTTTTCCCACTCCAGACGAAGTTTGCTCCACTTGCACTGTACTAAAGCGAGGCTGTTTTGTCACTGTCGTGTCACAGACGTATTCGCGGCGTCCCAAATTTCAGTCGTATTCCCCAACGTAGTGCATTTATTTGAAAACGTTAAATTCAAAGAACCAGACTATATTCAACGATTTCATTTCGACCCCAAAAATCACCTGGTACCACCTCATTACGGGAATCAAATTGATACTGTACGTTCAGGAATACGGCAAGAATTTCACCATGTTAATCAGGACATAAGGTGAATAAACTTCCCCATCTGATTTCACCAAGAAGGCATGTATGAAATTTGGTTGCACAAATTGCTGTGATGGAAGAGTATGTTGGATCCACGGTTGGATCCACGAGACTTGGCTATCACAACGGTTTGTACGTGTATAAACCTTACAAGTTACAGTAATGACAGTTCTGGAAGTACCCTTTACCTTTGTTCTGGCTCGACATCCTGCTAAAGATACTTGCTCTGCGTGCATGTGAAGACCTCCAGCTCCCGCAAGGTGTTGGGACTCAATCTTGCCCTGACACGCCCCCTGTAGTATATTTTTATAACATTAAATATCAGTTCACGCTGAGTGACGGTTCAGTTGACCCCTTATTCCTTCCACGGTTGATCGTTCTATATTATCAATCTATCTTATACATACATGTATATCAAGGCCAAGCCTACATGCTTTGTTTGGTTCCAGATGACCGAACTTTTTCCGAACTTTGACCCGCCGATAACAAAGCTAAAGGGTACAGACCACTAATTCAAGTGAGAATTTCTGGCCAGCTCATTAGCATCAAAAGTGCCCCCGCAGTATCTTTTGAAAAAGGAGATTGTTTGGCCCCCAAAATGGTGAGATT